TATTCCCGTTGTAGTAATCCGAGGGTATGGAATGAAGCAAACTTGATCTGCTTGGGAAGCTAGTATGAAAGACTCGAATTTGTTGTACCTGCATGCATAAAATTTAAGTAATAATAAATACATGTTTCCTCAACCACTTGATAAAGTGTTGATCTTTCCTTTTGTCTAACTCATGTGTCGATATACCAGGTATTGCTTCCTCGACTCGAGTCACAAATTGGCTGTAAAATTATATATATATGTTATGTTATATATTTAATATTGAAATATATGTATATATATATATAACTGTGTATGTTTATATATTTACCTTTCAAAATAAGTAATCAATGGATGCTCGCAATTAAGAAGAATATAAAGGTGTGCACTATGGACGTCTTCATCACTCGACCACCAAATCTCTTTCAATTTTCCACCCAATCGTCCAATTTGACAAAAGATGTCTGGAACATCGTCTTCCATATATGTTGGCACGACACCACCATCATCATATCGTCTTGGAGCTCGTTTCCTTGTACGTACTTTCGGTGCAAAGTAGTACGATGTGAAATGTGATGTTTCTTCTGTCAAACTTCCCGCAACAATAGAACCTTCAACTCTTGCTAGGTTTTTGGCTTTTCCTTTCAAAGTTTGCATGGCCCTTTCATACTGATACATCCATCCATAATGCACAGGTCCACGAAGTAATGCCTCATACGGGAGGTGGACAACTAGGTGTTCCATGACGTCGAAAAAAGTATGCGGAAATATTTTCTCCAAGTTGCAGATTAAGACAGGGATGTTTTCATGAAGTTGTTGGACAACTTCCACTTTAAGAGTGCGGGTGCTCAGATCCCTAAAAAATGCTCCAATTCCTATAGATTTACAAAACAAACATTATCCACATTAGTATATATATATATATGTATAATCATATCATCGTATTATATTAATTAATTACCTGAAAGTGCTTCATGTACTTTTGCCGGTAGTAGCTCCGCAAACGCAAAGGGAAGTAGTCGCTGCATGAAGACATGACAATCATGGCTCTTCATCCCGGAGTACTTTTGCCCTTTCTCAACACATCTTGAGACATTTGAAACATACCCATCATGAAACTTCACTTCTGAAGCCACCCAGTTAAACAACGCAGACTTTTTTTCTGATGACAGTCTGAATATTGGAACTGGAACTTGCCCATTGCTTTTTATATGCAGCTCACTCCTTGAGCAGATATCGGGTAAGTCTAACCTCGATTTTACGTTGTCTTTCATCTTCCCTTGGACGTTCAATNAATTTCTTGTTTCTTCGGTATGGGTGGTGAATAGGAAGAAATCGACGGTGACAATCGAACCAACTAGTCTTCCTACCATGCTTTAACTGAAACGCATCTGTCATTCCATTACAATATGGACAAGCTAATCTTACATGTGTAGTCCACCCAGACAACATACCATATGCACGAAAGTCACTTATGGTCCACAAAAGCATCGCTCGCATCATAAAGTTTGTTTTCGTTGAACAATAATATGTCCTCACCCCTGTTAACCACAAATTTTTCAACTCTTTTATCAGTGGTTGTAGAAAAACGTCGAGAGATCTTTGTGGATGTTTTGGACCAGGTATAAGATGCTCATGAATAGAAACTCTCGTCGCATGCACATCTCCGGTGGCAGGTTATACGGTGTAAGAAAGACCGGCCACAATGAATATTGTCCCCCGGACATTCCAAATGGAGTAAAACCATCAGTGCATAATCCAAGATACACATTCCGGCTATTGTTAGCGAAATGTGGATGTACATTGTTAAAATGTTTCCAGGCTCTTGCATCTGATGGATGAGTCATCTCTCCATCCGTCTGAGTATGCTCGGCGTGCCATCTCATCTCTCCAGCAGTCTCCTCAGATTGGTACAATCTTTTCAATCTGTCAGTGATTGGTAGGTACCACATCCTTTGGTACGGTACCCTATTGCGCCCTCGACCTTGCGGTTTGAATCGTGGTTTCTTACAAAATCGTCATTCTTCTAACTTCTCATCATCTCCCCAGTAAATCATGCAGTTGTCGATGCAAACGTCTATCATCTCCGAGGGCAACCCAAGACTATATACCAATTTCTGAATCTGATAATAAGATTCAGCAGACACATTGTCTTCTGGCAAATACTCTTTAAACAAGTCTGCCCATGCATCCATACAATTTTCAGGTAGATTGTGATNTACAACTAGCATCTTCTCCATGTTGATACCAAATATAATAATATGGCATGAAACCTCTATTTATTAAATGCTTCCAAACATTTTCACGAGGGCCTAATTTGCTATTGCAGCATTTCCGACAAGGACAGAACATCTTACCACTTTCCTGCGTGAGTGGTGTAGAATCTGCTTGATGCATAAACGTCTCCAACCCTTCCAGGAATTCGTTCATCACCCTCCCGTTATTATCTCTGTGTGAATACATCCACTGCCGCAACTCGAAAATATTTCCCGGACCGGACATTGTTTTGTGTTTGATCAAGCTTATAGCTGATTTTTTTTTGGTGTGTTTCAAATGAATCACATAAGGTGGTATTTATAGAAATTTTCGAATCTGAGCATTTACTAGGAAATTTCTAGGAAAAGTAGGTACAAAACACGTTTTATTTAAATTCGATATTTCCTATCCAGTTTCTCCTAATTTCGTAGTAATAAACAGTTTCTCCTAATTTCGTAGTAATATTTTACTATGCCTTTACAAGGAAAGTCTTTACTACGGCTTTACGAGGAAAAGTACCTTTTCCTCGTAAGATCCTCGTAAAATTACTAAGGTCTTACGAGGAAAATATTTTCTCGTAATTTTTCGAGGATCTTACGAGGAAATTTGCTTTCCTCGTAAACTCGAAGTAAGGCCTTAGTAATTTTACGAGGAAGATTTTTCCTAGTAAAATTTCCTAGTAAAAGCTTAGTTTTCTTGTAGTGTTAATATATAATGATTTATTTTATATATTTTACTTTTTAATTAATTATTATTATGTTTTCGAGTTTGGCACAATAATTTATAATCTGAAATACTTCAATAGTTTTTTCTTAAATATGATTTTCGAAAATGTAAAGTTGTCGAATAACCTAATATTACATAGTTAACAAGTTTTAATCCGTTTTAATGGTATATAATAATTTATTTAAATAAAAGTATTTTTAAAATTAAATAGATTAATTTACTAATTTAATATAAGTTTATCATATTTAATTTATATAATACTTCTATTTTAATATAATAAAGACTATATAATAAATCCCCAACTCTATCCCCATGAGTTCTTTATAACCCAATAATCCTTACAGCCTTCATTCCATAACCAACCGCCAAAGCATGTTGTAGTCGTCTCACGTACTAAGTACCACATTAAAAATTAATTTAACATTAATTATATAATAATGATCTTACTTGCTACAGAAAGTCAAGTGTCGTCTCAAATTATTGCTACAACTTATTCAAAAGAAATATTAACAATATATTTAACAATGTATTGATATATAGTTTTTAAGTTAATATCTTCATCTATATGTGTTTAAATTTTCTTTTGAAATTATAAACTCTAAGTCTGGACAGTATATCCAAAATTTTAAAATTTCAGACAATTTATATGGTTAAAAAAAATAATTTTTCAATTATTTTTTGACTTTGTAAACTTTGATATTTATAATTATGATATATATCTTCAAAATATATATTATTTTTTTAAAAAAAAATCCACAGTTTATAAGTTTACGTAGAACACAAGTTAAATCAAACATCCGCATAGGGATGCAGGTAAAATTTTAGTTAGTTTTATGACTGATAGAACTGGCTTTCTTGATAGGTCATAGATACAATCAAGGGAATCAATTAAATTAATGAATATGCATAGTTTAAGTATACCAATATAAATTATGTACCTACAAATTTTATAAGTTGAATTATCATCTTTGATCTGGACCCGCGGTCCGATAAATCTAGCTTATTTTTTTGATATAGCATACAAATAAAGGTTCTACCACCTAATATGTTTCCATAGAATATAAATTTAATGAAAACGTAATAATTACAAATTTGATAAAATACAAAAAACCCGTCATTAATCCGTGAACCAACACTGGTTGATCCGGTAAAAATCCAAAAAAATCTGATAATTTTTTTTTTTTTTAAATTTAATATTTCTTGTATACTTTATATAGTACATAAATTTGAATATGGTTTAAATTAGTTTACGGGCATTGCAACTAAAAGATTGTATTAACAATAAGTTGTGTTTCAAATGTATTGATAACTCATTTAACTTTACACTAGATTTTAACCCGCACAACCGTGCGGATATATATTTTCATGTTTATATATAAATATTTATTTTACGGGTAAAAATAATTTTTTTAATGTTACTCACATATTTAAATATTTGTATAATTATTTCATTCACATATATATGTATCTTCTCAAATTCCCCTGCTACAAATACTTTTAATCAATGTAAAACAAAAGAAAAATAGTATCATAATTGAAAGCCTAATTTGAACGGACTAAAGTGCTTAATATTTATAGAACACCTATTTACATTTTATTAGGTTATTTTACTGCAAATATTATTATGTCTTTGCGTAATAAATATGATATAAATCTACTATAAATAAAAGGGAAATATAAAGGTCTCTGAGTGTGTCCACATCAATTAAAAAATCAGCCAGTCGAAAGCCAGTTTTTCGCCACGTCATACCCGATTTGGGTAATGTTGGACTCTTTTTTCGGATCCGTTTGGTTTGTTTGTCTGGTCCATCAAGAGAAAACCCTAAAAAGATGAACAAGCGATGAATCCTTCCCTCCTCCCCTTTTGGGTTCTTCTTCGTAGTTTCCTATTCTCAGCCGACACCATCTGATAACATCAAAGACTTTTAAAAGATTTCTATGGTGCTTATTCATGAATATAGGTGAGAGATCTTTCTGTTAGATAACAAATAAAGGGGAGTAAGAGAGCTGATTCAGCCAAATATTTGGCCATGTGAAGGATGAAAACACCAACGAAAGCAACTATTCTGGTAAGGAATTTCTTTGATCTGCAGAACTCAATCTAATTGGATGGATCCAAGTGGCTTGACCGGGAGAGATCGATAATATGCAATTAACATTAATTTAAATGGTACGTTATTGTTAATTTCCACAAGTTTATTGAGCATACACTAATGTCGAGTTATTTTAAATCTAAATCATATTGTTTTGTATGGTTTATCTTATTTGTTTTTGCAGGAACTTTGGAACATGATTTCTTGTTTGTTTTGCGTATAGAGTTCATTTTTAGCTGCACCAAACAGGAACNTGCAATTAACATTAATTTAAATGGTACGTTATTGTTAATTTCCACAAGTTTATTGAGCATACACTAATGTCGAGTTATTTTAAATCTAAATCATATTGTTTTGTATGGTTTATCTTATTTGTTTTTGCAGGAACTTTGGAACATGATTTCTTGTTTGTTTTGCGTATAGAGTTCATTTTTAGCTGCACCAAACAGGAACCGAGTTCGTATCCTCACCAAATCATGCCCAGAAAATCAGAGCTTCAAATCCAACGATTCAGATTCTTCACCGGAGACCACCAACGAAACCCAGGTTCAAAGTCTGAGTCTTTTAATATCTATCAATGTCAAATCAACTATTTTTTTTTCTTCAAGCTATGCTATTATTGGCTTCCACTGATGCTAAGAAGATGTTTCAAGTTTTATTCTTTACTGTTTCAAATTGGTAAATCAACATTAGTATATGTCTTTGAATGTTACTGGTCCTTGTAAATTGGGAGCTGAGCTAGCTGTAGTTGAAATTGTATACTTGTGTATGCAAAGTGCTTATCTCAGAGTCTTCTAAGCTGGTTTGTGTTCTTGCTTATATATTTGAAGGGGGATCAGAAATCGATGTCACGGAGACAGTGGATGATGACGTGTGCGTGCTTATCTCCAGCTTTAATTACCAATGCTTATACCCTTGTCTCTCTACAAAACGCAGCCGCTTTAGACAAGAAACCAGGTGTTTGCCGTAACTGTCAGGGATTTGGTGCTGTTCTTTGTGAGTTACATACACTTTCTTAGATTACTATACTCTTATAGCTTTTTTTTTTTGGGCAAACAAATAATCATTTCATAACTAAAGATGTTTTACACTCCATTATCGGAGGAGATTAGCAATGACAGAGCTGATTTAGCCACAGAATCAGCCACACCATTACCTACCCGAGGTACATATGAAAAGGAGATAATATCGAACAAAGTACTGAAATGATAAATGTCAAATAAAATTCCGAACAAAGCTGGTATCGATCCACCACTCTTCAATAGCTTGATCAAGGAGAGAGAATCAGACAGGATCATCAGGGATTTAATATTCAACGAGGCAGTATACATCACTGCCGAACGGATGGCGAGGCATACAGCCATTAACGTCGAAGAAACGTGTTTGCGCGAGGAAGATATATGCTCCAACGGTACTCTGTTACAGCCGGCCGAGAACACTCCTCCTGTGCCACTAAAACCAGTACGAACATCCCAAGCACCATCAACATTACATATCAGGATACCGGGTGATACCTCATGAGGCTGTGGTCTATGCGCAGGCGTATTGAAAGGGTGTCTTGACTGTACCGAGTCGGTTGAGGGAGCTTGCGCCATCTGCCATTCTCGCGCGTCAGAGATGGACTTGGTGATAATATCCATAGCAGTAAAGGCTTTATTATCAAAGCATAATTTGTTTCTCGCCTTCCATAAGTTCCACAAAAGCCAAGGCCAAAGGGGAATGGTTAGGCCTACCGGAGGAAGGACTGTGAGAGTTGGCGCAACGGAGATGAGGGATGCGATCGAGGAGACGTTGGCAGATGGTATATTCACCAAAGGGGCCATACTCCATACTTGCTGAGCAATGCTGCAGTTGAGGAAGACGTGGAGGTCATCCTCCTCTCCATCGCAAGTTTTACATTTAAAAGCTTGCATCCCACGTTTCACCAAGTTTGAACTTACCGGAATCGCCTTGCGGACCACTTTCCAGAGGAAATCTTTTAGCTTAGGCGATGTTTTGATGTTCCAGATGCTCTTGACCCAGTTAAAAGAAGATAAATTGGTTTCTTGGTCAGCCGTGGTGGTTGTGGCAATTCCGTAACCAGTCTTTGTAGTGTAGCATCCCGACTTATCAAGAAGCCATGCCAAATGGTCAGTTGCAGGAGCTGAGCTTGTAACAATAGCTTGGATACGATCATTATACTGAGGTAGAAGGGATTGGATTTGATCTCTGTTCCACGAATTGGTAATGGGGCAGAGGAGATCGCAAACCATCAGGTCACCATCGTGCGCATTAGGAGGTCCGTAAGGGGTTAGTGGTTTATCACAAGATAACCATGGATTCTTCCAAACTCTGATCTTGCTTCCATCCCCGACGATCCAGCCTAATCCCATTTTTAGAATTTCACGGCCTGCCAAAATGCTCCTCCATCCGTGTGACATCTTCGATGGAGCAGAACATTCGAGGAAGGAGCTGTTCCTTGCGTATTTCCCTAACAGCACCTGAGCTATAAGAGACGTAGGGTGTTGGAGTATTCGCCATCCAATCTTAGCGAGAAGAGCGTCGTTGAAAGCTGATATATCTCTGAAACCCAATCCCCCGGCGTGTTTAGGGAGAGTAAGAGTGGACCACGCAACCCAGCACATCTTTCGCTGATCCGGGTTTGCGTCCCACCAGAATCTCGTAAGAAGGGACTGTATCTGTTTGCAAAGTGATCCTGGCAGTTTAAAACAAGACATAGAGTACGTCGGCATAGCTTGCAGCACTGCTTTCAAAAGGACCTGTTTGCCGGCTCCGGACAGAAATTTGTTTTTCCAAGACAGAGTTTTCTGCCTAATGCGATCAAGAATGGATGCAAAAATATCCCTCTTCTTTCTCCCAAAATGCTCGGGGAGGCCTAAGTATTTCCCCAACCCCCCTTCCGCGTCAATGGAGAGTGTAGACTTAACTCTTGCTCTGACCTCTGCTGGAGTTTTTGAGGTGAAGGTGATTGCAGATTTGGAGAAGTTGATGCGCTGACCAGACAAAGTCTCATAGTCCCGCAGTATAGATAAGAGCGTGGAGACATTAGATGAGTTAGACCGACAAAAGAACATCGTATCGTCCGCAAATAACAAGTGAGTGATAGCCGGACACCCTCTAGCAACTTTGATCCCGGATAGTAAACCTTTTTGGTGAGCTTGATCGCACATTGCTGAGAGAGTTTCAGTGCAAAGGATGAATAGATAGGGTGATAGGGGGTCTCCCTGTCGTATTCCACGAGATGGTGTTACTGCTCCCATAGGCGTCCATTGCTAATGTCGAGTTCATTGACACCATTGCTTCCCAGTGATGCTGTGGATCCTTTTGTTTGCTATGTTCCAGATGCCTACCATCAGCCCTTTTATCATGGTAAAGATCCAGAATCATTACTTATTTACTTCACAAGTTTATCACCAATGCTTAAAAAGTTTCTCTTTTTATTAATCTTTCAGGATATGAATCGACTGGTCAAGATTGGAGTGATTTTACTGGCTGCAACCCTAATCTTGAGGGTGTCGAGATGAATGCTGTAAGTGTGTGATTAATAGGTCCTATGTTTTGAAAGAGGTTTGTTGTTGTCTGATTTTTTATGTTTTTTTTTGTGTGTAAGTTCATTTAATATTTAGAAAATTCTTCTTTTTGGAAGGTGTGCAACTTAAATCAGGGCCAAAAACCGATTTAAGTGATAGTATATGGGTTACAACAATAGAATCCTCTGTAGAGAGATGACCCGCCGAAGTAAAGAGTCCTGAAAAGGAATTTGAACGAGGTGGCTCTTTCTTGGCTGGGAATTTTTTGTTCAATAGGATGAGTGTCCTTGGAAGGACTAAATCCAGTAAGAAAAATAATAATATCTTCCTTTAAATGCTTCTCTTAAACCTTTTTGAGTCAGTGTCTAATTATTTTTGCTTGGATGCAGCATCCTGCCTATAAGGAACCGTTAATAACTATTCCAAGAAGCCACCCGATTGTGCAGCATGAGATTTTAAATAATAAAAGGCAAATCTTAACTAAGGTGAAATAAATTTCTCAGAATTCTCTAGTAAGACCATCGTGGATAGACTTATGAAGGGGTCGATTATATCTGGTGTTTTTTCTTTTGCAGAACGCAGGTGACTCAGTGAAACTATGGGATATAACAAAGGGTTGTGATAGAGGACTATGGGAAGGTCGCTGTAGATATTAGGCCTCTTATTTGAGTTTGTGATATTTTATATGTACATGCTGCCGTAATCCTGAAAATTTATGTTTCCATGTTTGCAGATATTATTTGAAGAGAAGAAAGAAGAATTGTTTGAAATAGTAAGCAGCTTGGTTTATTTTCAAAGATTATGATTCTTTTTCTTTAGCGAGACTAGCAGATTTCATTGTTCATCTTTGCGTTTTGAGGTAAGCAACCCATCATGGTTTACTATGGACACACGACTTGGATGCTTATCATTACATTTGGAGACTCCACAATGCTTCACTGCTGAGATGTATTTAGCAGACCTCAAAGTTTCCGGACGCCCTGAAGATGATAAGGTAGAATACATGCCTGCATCTTTACTTATGTTTAAGATGACCAGAAACTTTGATCTTACTGTTACTCATCGTTAATGGATCTTTGCATGCGGTTACATATGAATCTGCTTATCATAATTGAACAACTTGTACTCTTATATGATCTAGCCTGGTCACAATAAACCGACTTTTTGTCATTGGATTGTGTGATTTGTAGATTAACCTAGGTCGTGAAACACTGAAAGGCCTGCTGGGTCATTGGCTGGCAAAGAAGAAGCACAAACCAAACCCCTAAGTTCTTGCCTCTGCAGATATCTATCTCTAAGAAATACCAAAAAAGTTCAAATAGTGATTACAGACAAGTTCAAATAGCATATTTAAATAATGGGTTCATTTCATGCTTTGTTTTTTAACTCATGCTCAGTTCAAAATTCTTTTTGATAGTTAAAAACTCATAAAACAAAGAAAACTTTATAGATACTGGGTTTATTCAAATAACTCATGACGAAAGTGTTTGTCCCATACTAAAATTAAATGAGGATTATAAAGAAATGCAAGGGTTATGCTTAGGTAAAGTGAGCTGTCCAATAGTAATCTTCTATACTTGCGTATATAGTGTAACATATTTAGGAAGGCTATGCGTAGATTGACCATATATATTTGTTCTTTCAAGTTCTCATTGACGAACATATACAACTTCATGTTTTTCTTCTCATTTTTAAGAATTTATGAAAGTCATCTATAACTCCAGCTTACAAGATTATAAAATTTTGTAGATGGAATAATCATTTTTGGAGTAATATTTACCAATCAAAACTATGGGAAAAAATAAACTGTAACCAAAAAAACAAATTACGAGAGGCACAAATGTTAGATTATGATAAAGATACACAACTTGGTTAATGCAAACTTAAATATATACATTTAGTTACACATCAAGAGAACAATAGATTTTAATTTTATAAATACTATTGGCTTTATCTTAATTTTGATATGCATATATATTGTATAATCCATATAACCAAACTTTTATATAAACATAAATTAATATAAAAGTCTAAGAAAATCTGAATAAAATATAATATAATTAATGTATTTTACTTAAAATAGAACATACTATAAAATAATAAAACAAGATATAAAAAATAAATAAAACAGTGCTAGAAGCAAATGCATTTATTTAATTTACATTAACCAGTTATGTAATGTTAGAACCATTAGTTGAACATTTAGTGATTAAACTAAGGAATATAAAAATAGCTCTTAGAGAATATTATATTTTGTTTTGCTGCATAGAAACAAAAATATTTGACATAATTTCAGGATTCTTTAAAAATACATCACTTTTAGATTTCAATTGTTCTTCATTTCATCACTGCCTTAATACTTAAGAACGAATTCATATAGATTTTATTATCACCAAATAATATATAAATTTAAAAATATATATTGGTTGATTTTAACTTTAAAAAATATTTGAATTATATGTTAATTTAACCACATTTTCATAAAATTCAAATAAACAAATTAAAAGAATAATTGAATTTGAATAAAAAAATTTATTAATTGGTTACCAACTTATATGTATTTTGATATTGAAAGAAAAAAATGAATTTTTATAATTTTGGTCACCAAAAACAATACAAAAAAATCAATTTTTTAATAGTTTATATAGATTATTTAGTTTAAGTATAGAATATGTAGTCAAATACACTCTATAATAAACTAAATAAAATTAAAATATAGGATAAAAAACCCGGGCGTAATCCGGGAAAAGTCTCTAGTTAAATTAAAATTTGGTAATTTTTTTATAGTTTTTAAGTTAATTATTAAAATTAATTAGAAAATATTTCATATTAGTACTTTTTCAAAATTATTATACCAATATATTAATATATTAAGTGTTTTCGTCATCCGTTAGTGATTGTCATTTTTTTATGAAGGAAACAAAAGGTGGAATCATATCGAGTGAAAAAGCCTACCAAAACCCATTTTATAATTTAGGCTAAATCTCCATGGTCTCAAATCCGATTTGATTATAACATAAACTAGATATTGAGCCGTGCAACTGCACGAAATTATTATATTTATATTATTATTAATGCTTTAAATTAAAATTTTATGAGTTTTATAAACTTTAGTTTTTGTCAAGATTGTATTTTTTTTATTTTTTTATTTTTGTTTGATTCTTGTTCGGTTGTGAGTTTTGGTGTTCAGGTCAAGAGATTTAATGCAACTGAGAATTCATTAATAATCTCTGGTTCAAAAATATAATATTTATATCAGAGTTTATGTTTTCAAAGTATAATTTGATGATATTTATAAACTTTTTGACTTAAGCTTGTATTTTTGACTTTTTCTGATTTGATTGTGAGTTCTAATTTTCAGTTCAAACATATAGTGCAACTGAGAATTCATCAATAATCTTCCATATACCAACTTGAAGATGCTTCTTTACGCGAGGCATAGAAGATCTTCTTAGAGGAACAATGTATGTTAACACTATAATAAACTCATTATGATTAATAACTGATGACAATATAAAAAATACTTTGTTTTCATAGACAATATTAAACTTGGAATAAGAACAATACATAAAAAGAACTTATAATAAAATTTACAATTTGATTTGCTAGAATTAATTCCTAGGCCGCTTGTTCTACTACAAAATATCTAGAAGTATATTTACCCCTTTTGTGTCTAGTTCTTGAATACCATTTTGTGTGTTGCGTGAATAAATATTTATGCTACACTTATTTGGGTTAAACAATAACTCTACTTTGTTATTTCAGATTGTGGATTTATACAATTAAGTGAACCGTTGAAGACGGCACTTGATATGTCGGCCGTTTAAGGTATAGGATATTTCCCGTTTGACTTCTTATGATCCTGTAAACATGATAATATCTCTAGCTATTGATTTAGTAGTTAACAAGTAGTTTTGTAAGCTTATGAAAATATATTTCCTTTCATTTTCAGTGCAGATTTACGGATGATTTACAGGATTTCATCTAATGTAGTTGGGATATATATAATCAACATCATTCATGTCAAATTTATAGTGTTGGTACAACACTGATTCATACAATCTAGTTATCAATTCCGGTTAACAATAATTAAAAATTCCATAATTTTCAAACATACAAATCGGTTAACCAATAGCTTTTATATACTAAGTCACAAGTCATCTAGCGAATTAAAATTTTTATATTTGGCAAAACTTTATAAAATAAAATAAATGTTAGAAAATCAATCAGAAAAAAAAAACTTGACCTGCTCAGTTTCACTTCTCGTATGCTTTGTGTGAGATTAATCAAAAAATCCTATATTATAATGATACACATTCAAGGCTCCTAAACCTATCCACCTCAGCAAGTTTGCGGGCCCGCGCGTGTTATTAGGGAAAACAAAAACGTATAACATTTTGTAAGACTGAATGTTATCGATGAGTGATGAAATGGCCCAGTGTTGTAAGTTGGTGACGAGAAGTTGGTACTGCGAGTGCACGGATTCGAAACGCAGTGTTTGCATATAATTTTTTTTTTTAATTTGGGCTTTTCGGGATACCTAAAAGCTTAGGGAGATTCAGAATGATTTTTTATGCTAGTTGTTGGGATACAAAATGGCTTAAGGATTTGAAACTTTATGAGACCATCTTAGATACTTTTATAAGAAAGGTTATCATGTTCTAACATCCAATATCATTTCAATTCAGTTATAATCATCAAATAAAATAAAAACATATTTTTCAATAATAAATATTTACCCGAACCATTCAGATCGGCCATAAATCTCATATATATCACAATTAAAAAATATATATATATATATACAACATAATTCAGAAAGAAAATTACACTAATAAACACATGTTTTTTTTTGTCTTGTCTCCATTAAATTATTTTTTTACATGAAAGCACTAATAACAGTAATGCTCGATAAAATCATTAATAAAGGGAATGCTCGATAAAATCACTAATAAAGGGAATGCTCGATAAAATCACTACGAAGATAAAATATGAAAATATCAACCCATATGAATTCGATGTTTATTCTTTTATCAGACTAATCAAGTTGTGTGACTTCTAATGTTTCATTCATCACCATTATAGATAA